CTCTCTCTCTGTGTGTGTGTGTGTGTGTGTGTGTGTGTGTGTGTGTGTGTGTGTCTGCACTCACACTTTGCGTGATGGAATAAAAGGGGGAATTATGTGATACCCTCCTTTTTGGATATTTATAGCATACTTGCGGCACACTTGCGGTGCGCCGTGGCGTGCGGCATGCGCCATGCGGACATTAGTGATGCGCTCAGTTTTTTATTTTTTATTTTTTTTTAGGGGGGTCTGTGTGTGTCTACAGGGGGGGGGGGGGGGGGGGGGGGGGGGGTGGAGAGAGAGAGAGAGAGAGAGAGAGAGAGAGAGAACAAAGGACCCCTATCACACACATCAGAGGGCCCGTGCAGGTAATCTGAAGGGATCGAGGCAGGCGTGAAGTATGAAGTGGGGCAGTAGCTGGCTGAATATATACTCTGGGTTCGATTTCAGGTCTGTGTTTCAGAAGTTATGGGTTGCTCACTTAGCTAGGCCCTGTTGGTCTCTGCACGTGATTCTCAGGGCTTGGCTACACTACCCACCAAATGTGCAAACATGTGCGGAGAGCAACAGGGCCTCGCTGATTCAGTGACCGATAACCGCTGATACACAGACCTGAATTCGAATCCAGACTATATATTATCGGCCCACTCATGCAGAACTGGAACCCTGACGCCTCTATGCTTCTTGAGGGGTTCTTGCTGATTCGATGTAGGGGCCCTTCAGAAAAGAGACTGTACACAATTAGGACATGCACAACCCCCCCCACACACATGCACACACAGTTTTGGGGTATGTCGTGGCCCAATGTTTTTTTCCCTCTTGCAGTTTGATTTTTAGAAGCGAGGGGCACGTTTGGCCACCCCACTCTGTCCTTTCGGATTTTTTAATTTTTTTTCAAAGTGATGCGCCGCATCACGTGCGCGTGCGCTATGCGCCGCACGTGCACAACTTGCGTGCACGTGATGCGCCGCAAGTATGATATATAGATCTGCACGTGCTGTCATTTCTACTGATTCAGTGTCCCCGTGTGTTAAAGTGACACGATCAGGCACTGACCTACTATGTCATGCATGTGAAGCCGCAGTGGCCCCTCTTGTTAACAATTAAATACATTAAATAATGAATGAATGACTGGACAAGACCAATGTCAGCTTAATGCTCATGCCAATCAGCTAGAAGTCCCCATCTCATCAATTAATCGACTAATGCACTTATCATAGAAGAAATGTCTCCACAGAAACGTTTCCATAAATTGACTTCTGAGGACCCATTTGCAGAGGTAAGTTGAATAGAACATATGTACGTTTTTTTTGGGTTACAATGGTAGTCCTAAACAGTAGGATGGCGGCTGGCAGAATCTCCCCCCCTCCCCCCTCAACCACAAAACTGTCGTGATCGGATATCCGGGTCCACAGGGGATCAGGCAGCTCACTACTTGGGAATCATCACACCAATACTTCAAAACTCGCTGGCCAAGGACTAACTGGTAGGCTCTGCAATTGAATTATAGTGCCCTGATGGCCTTTGGATCGGTCGATCCGGCGGCACTATTTTCAAGTTGGGTGTTTTTCATGTGAAAGGAGAACTGTTCTTCGCTGCGGATGTGGTCAATAATCTGTTGGATGTACGCACGAGGTTTACATCGCAGGGCTGTAAAGAACCACAGTGTGTGCATTCCTTGATCTGTTGTAGAGGACGTCGTGGATTTCAGAACTGTTTTTCAAGAGATCTGACCCCTTGAAGAAGGATTACCACCTCGTATTCCACGAGTGATTCAACATCCAGCCAGGAGCCTCACTGAGATCTCCAGAGTTTTTCCTGATCCGTTCCCTCCTTCTGAGTTTGCATTAGTAGATTTACAATGGTATGGACTAGGGAGGGAACGAGAGGTCAAGATACAGCTACTTTCAGCAGGGTGCAGTACATCTAGGTTATCTGGTATATCCGTGGTCCAGAATGGACCGAAGAGACTCTCTACAACCTACAAACATGATGTTTGTATTGTTCAATTGTTCTGTACCAGGGATGCTGGACCCGCTTCCCAGCAGTTGCTACTCCCAACCAATAGAATGGAGTCACTAGCTGAGCTGCTGGGAGTGGATGCTCTTATAACCACACCTAGCAGTCTCAGCAGGTGGTTTAAACCACCGCTACCTTTCCCATATGTCGGCCGCGGGCATCTAGTAGCCCACTCCTGAAAAATAGCCGCCACACCGCCGTAGATATTTTCCATCGACGGCGCGTGGCGGCCGAATTTGAATTTGAGGCCCGCGGCCCCATATATGAGAAAGGTAGTGGTGGTTTAAAACATTAAAAAAAAAAAAAAAACAAAGAGGCCCCGGCCATGGTTTTTCAGGGATCGGGACAAAAAGGTGAAGGGAATGACCTGCAGACAGTCATCCCCCCCCTTAATCACTGTCTTTCAATCGACAAGGCAGCAGCCAGGACACAGAGGCCCAAACCGACAAAAGGCTGGGTCACAGGACAAGAGGCAGGATGACCGAGAACACAGTCAGAACAATCCAGACAAAGCTGGGCTCGCTTTCTCCAAAGAAGGTCTATTACTCGGCAAGTTGGCAGTGACAGAGGTCTGAAATGGTAGGCTGCGGATTCAAAAGCAACAGTGTGGTTCTTGCACTCGTCCATCTGTCACATGGGCCAGAAACACCCAGGTGCTGACCAGCATGCAGCCCTTCAGGCCCCATGATTTCCCCCCTGTCAGACGTTGGGACCAGCTGGGCCACGCTACAGGGATGTTCACGTCATGACAGATCTTCCTTGTAAGGATTAATTCAGAAGAAAGGGTCTCGTCTATAAAATCCTAGAAAATGCTATTTTTGAAGTTTTCTCCATTCCACTCAGTTCTAATCACTAATCCTGGGAAAAAATTATCGACCAATGTGAAAACATGTTGAGGACTTGTCCTAAAGTTTCTGGGATGACATAGCCATTTCATCGAAATTCCTTAGGCACCTTGCAAGGGTGCCCAGAAAATCCTTTTTTTTTTTTTTTTTAATAACTAATGACCACTGTTAGGTGAGGTGGTAAAAGCAGCCCCTCCTAACAGCATCCACGGTTGCTCCGTCAATTGGTGGGTAGCAGCGAGGTGCTAAAAGCAGCCCCTCCTAACAGCGTCTGCGGTTGCTCCGTCTATCGGTGGGGAGCAGCACCTGCTGTAAAATGGGTCCAGCCTCCCTAGAAAATCCTGGAACTGAATTCTTCAGAGTGGAGAGGGCATCCCACAAATTCAATATGTGGCCCTATTGGCTGAAAGGCCTGAACTTTGTTTTTCCTAAATGGCAACCCACCTTAGGACTCGTGCTAGTTGAGGAGAAATTAATCACAATAACTCTCTAGGACGAGTCCTTGAGATTGTAGGACGTGTTGAACATGACTCAAAGTGTGAGCATCGCATCGACTTGCTCCTGATGCCTTGGGTCATGTTGTTCATGTAAATCGTGGTGGCATTTACGGTGTCTATTGGTGTGTGCTTTGCTATTTCAGGGATCTGAGCCAGAATCAATTCACAGGAAAACTGCCTCAAGCTTTATCGAACTTAACAGCACTCACTTACCTGTAAGCTCTCTTTACTTCTCCTTGTTTACTATTTTTAAGATTTTCAAAAGTTTTGAACTTCTTTTCACATTTTTTTATTTTACATATTTTTTGTTTTATGTGTAATCACAGACCGAGAACCCTTCTGATTTCTGAGTTTTGCCGCTGATTGTGTGACTTGCTGAGATTCCCGCTTTCTGCTGAGATTTCTAAGTCTGTGTGTGTGCGTGCTTGCTGAGTTCCCGTGTGTTTATCTGAGTCCATGATTGCTTGGGTGTGTGTGTGACCCACCACGGTACTTGTATGCTTGGAAGGCCCTCGGGCCTAGTACTTACCTGTGGCCGTGCCTCCGTGGGTTGCAGCGGGGTGTAGCTGTAGGCTAGGCCCGTGTTGCATACTGTAACGGTGCAGACCAGAACAAGAACCGACCTCTCAATACAAAGTACAAGATAGCGTAGCGGAAGACTTAGATACCAATGATCCGAACAATCAATATTGCAATGCGGCCCCGAACATACATCATCATCCATGGTGTGAAGGGGTCTGGCGCTCACACAGGAAGAATGCGCCAGCCCCAACCATACACAGACGAAGAAGAGGGGGGGTTAGACGAAGAAGAGGGGAAGATGGGAATGTCATCAACACCAAGTCTTCGGCACAGGCCCAAATAGTCCCTCGTCAAAATGTCTGAATCTCAATGTCGAGTCTGGATCCAATGTCGTCAAGCCTCAAGTCACAACTCTCTCTCTCTCTGTCGTAGTCCGCTGATACTGAGAAGTCCGGTGGGGAGAGGGTGAAGAAGAAATGGTGGACTTAGAAGAGGAAGAAGAAGAACTCTCTCTCTCTCTCTCTCTCTCTCTCTCTCTCTCTCTCTCTCTCTCTCTCTCTCTCTCTCTCTCTCTCTCTCTCTCTCTCTCTCTCTCTCTCTCAGTCCGGTACTAACCTGGGAAGCTGGCGCCTTGATGCAGGTACCTCGAAGATGGAGCTGGAGCTATGGCGCCACAGGTAAGTCTCGCTGGCCTCCGCCAGCCATCTCTCTCCAACACTACTACTACCACCTACTAGCGCCCAGCGCTGAAGACTACTGCTATGGCTACTAGTGCCCAGCGCTGAAGACTACTGCTATGGCTACCAGCGCCCAGCGCTGAAGACTACTGCTAGCACTAAGCTACTACTGCAGCGCTCCTCCTGAGTGCTGCTGCCGAATCCTGAAGACTGCCTCCTGCCTTCTGTCCAACTACCTGCCTGTGAAGTACATGGGAACTCCCTATGTACTACTCGGCCTGCCTCCTGACTGCCTGCAGCTGCAGGGCAGGGCAGTCCAGGAGGCTGCTCTTGCCAATGCCGAAGGGAGCCAGGGGCTGACGCTGCAGCTCCTGCTGAGGCTGTTCGTGGGAACAGGCTAAAGATAGCCTGTTCCCGAAACCCTGGTTTTGTGCCTGAGTGTTAGGGCAGGTCGATCTTATGAGGGCCCGAAAGTGGCCCTCCGTTTCAGGCTGAAAAGCCTCAGGGATGAAAAGCCCTGGGGCTGAAAAGCCCTGTTTTAGGCTGAAAACTACATAGGTCCTGCAGGCCCTCGTTTTCAGTCTTTCAGGCTGAAACGACACGGGGCCTGTAAGCCCTTATTTCTAGGCTTTTAGGCTGAGAATGCGGGACGGTCCCTGCAGGCCCGTGTGGCTACGCAGTATGCCACACCCGCATAGATGGAAAACACTCAAGTAGCAGGTAGGCTAGGCCTGCGTAGGTTGGAAAACACTCGAGTAGCGGATAGTTAGGCAGAAGAGGACAAAAAGTTAGTACCTTTAGGAGTTCGGTAGGCTTAGGTCTAGGGGCTCCGGTCCAGTAAACTGAGTCTAGAGCCTGTAGCGGTGAATATCAGACCTGCAATGATGTTTCCCTCTGAAAGGAGGAAGGTACCAGCAGCTTGGGAGGCCGAGCGGCCTCCTCATTTTGCGGTGTGCAAGTTTGGCGTCAGGCTGCTGGGGCAAGCACTTGGTGAGTCCAGCACTGGGAGGAAGAAGGCGGTCTGGCCCTCCACCTTCAGCAATGGTAGAGCGGTCCAGGGAGGAAGGCTCTGTGATGTAGGAGGAGGAGGAAGAAGCTGGGCAAGGAGGAGAGTGACTTGGGTGCTTACCTGGCTATGGTGGACGAAATCTTCATCCTCTTGGTTGGCGCTGCAGGCATGGTGGCCATAGTAGAGAGGCCACATCAGTTTTGCGGGCACCGCTAGTCTGCCATAGCCACCTACGAGTAGGTGGTAGAGGATGGTGAAGGTCATGGCTATGGTGGACCTCATAAGTTGCTGGCAGTAAGGGGGAGATTTGGACAGCTGGGCGAGGAGGAGAGTGACGGGGGTGCTTACCTGGCTATGGTGGACGGAATCTTCATCCTCTTGGTTGGCGCTGCAGGCATGGTGGCCATAGTACAGAGGGAACATCAGTTTTGCGGGCGCCGCTAGTCTGCCATAGCCACCTACGAGTAGGTGGTAGAGGAAGGTGTAGTTCATGGCTATGGTGGACCTCATAAGTTGCTGGCAGTAAGGGGGAGATTTGGACATCGGTGCTGATTCATTCTTTCATTGTTATTATTATTGTTCGTTGTATTGCAGAGGTTGGGGGAGATAAGGAGGTTGAAGGTGATGGCAAGTTGGAGGGGAAATTGACATTGGTCTTTGCTGGTGTACATCTTCTTCTTCTTCTTCTTCGAATCCTTGGCAAGGTTTGCCAAGGTGATGGGTGGTCCCTGGAGATTTTTTGTCTCTCAGGTTTACCCCCACCTCCAGTTGTACAATAGTTAGAAAAATGAGTGTTTTTTTTTGTCCCTCGCCCCCTTTTTTTGTCTCTCTCCTTTTGGCGCAATAATTACCCCTTCCCTCCCTCCTCAGAATTTTTGACAAGGACCCTCCTCCAACCGCATAGGTTGCTCTCTAATTTTTCCTACGTTACCACCCTTCCTCAGGCAATTGAAAAAAAACACCTGCACGCGGCATTCTCTGTTTTTTTTGTGACGTTTAGTCACACAGATTTACAGGCACGGTTGATCTTAAAAATTTGGTGAAAAAAAAGAAAAAGTAATAGGCCGTTGGCTATGTGGTCAGACTGACAACGTTTTTGGGGCACTGCTGGTATTACACTCCGTCACTGCCCGCTTTTTTGCTGGGCTTAGTCAGGTTCATGATGTCCGACCGTTGTACCTTGGTAGGCCTCCAGCCTTTTTAGCCTGTAGGGAAATTTTGGCCTGACGAATCCCCACGTTTTTTTGGGAAGTCACGGTTTCATGTGCGTCTCTTTTTTGAGGCAGGCCCTTTTTGTAATTCTGGCTCTATCTGGCAATAGGACTACTAGGCACTACTGAGTGAAATGGCCACCGGACCCACCAAGAATCGCAAACGGGTATATATTTCTGATTGTCGGGTATTAGTATCTTTCTCTCTGGATGAGTTCGCTGAAGGGTCGAGCTTGTGCACGAGATTGGGCCGCACGTAATACTGTTCTTTCACACACAGTCAAGATGCAAGGCGGGGATACTGAAACGGTTTTCATCTCTTTGCAGTAGCAGATGCAGATCCCAGGGCTCGATCCCTAGACCTCACCCTACTCATGTACAGTACCTGTGTAGACCGCGAGAGTTGAACCTGTGACCTGTGTATTCGTAAACAGTTGGTAGGCTGTCATAGGTCCGTAGGTAGCAGGGGTTCGATCTGTAGATCTGTAGAATAGAAGTCTTAGTCAGTTCCAGAAGTCTTAGCTGTAGTCCTTCTAGAAGGTCGGCAAGTGGGCAAGTGGGCAAGTGGTGAGCCAAGTGGTGGACTAACTGCAGTCCGATTGCAGTGCGACCTCGGTAGGTTAGCAGTGAGTCCCCAGTCAGTCAGCGGGAAGGTCCAGTCAGTCCCAGTTCGGTCCAGCAAGTACCACGAGGGACTGTGAGCACCATGGGCCGATGGAAAGGGGCAGACCAACGAGCTTCAGAAGTATAAATCAAGAGGCAGCGCCCAGCCATTCATTCATTCCTGCGTGAGCCATGCGGAAACGCTGCCACAGCGACTTGTGCAAGGAGGTCTGCAGTGAGCCCACAGCTGAAGTGGGCGAGAGAGAACGAGCATACCATAGCGATAGGGTAGAGGCGGACATAGCCGCCATAGCTAGAGTTAGTGTGTAGTGTGTGTGTGTGTGTGTGAGTTCAGAGAGCCGCGTGTGGGATATCCAGGGTGATCCGGTGTATGTGAACAGTGAGTTGTTTGGGCGCTGAGTCGCCATAGCCAATTGAAAGTGAACTCGTATCTGGATGCCATATCTCTGAGTTTTGAGAGGGTGCATGTCGCCAGTTTGCTGCGCTGCTGTTTACATGCATGAAAAGTGTGAATGACAGCGAGTCTTATTGCAATACTGCGCCGGGAGGAGTCATGCTCTATCGAATGGAACGAGAACGGTACGAAGTAGGAGGTAGGAGACTTGTGGGCAGATGGTGGAAGGATAGGGGGAGGCGTGGGGAATTATGATCTGCATTCATGAGCTATAAGTTTATGGAGTTGCTCACGCAGCTCTACTGTTGGGTGGTGGATTGATCCTCCTGAAGAGTCTTGAACGCACAAGCCGAAACACGTCGAGGGAATGTGTATTTTCTACGGTGTTTGGCAAAAATCTTATTTGATTGTTGTCCTCCATGTGACAGGTGTCATGTCTGTTCTTTGTACCCTTCACTTCTGGGTAGGTGTGACCACCGACGTGTGCTTTTTGCCGAAGTGTGGTCACGTTGGTTCTTTGCATCGAGGAATCCTTGAGAAAAGGTGGGGGAAGGTTTGGTGGGAAGGAGAGAAGAATCGTTAGAGATAAGACCGGTGAGATGGTTGGAAGGTCGAAAATTTTGAAGATGATTCTACTCATCTTCAAGCATTTGCCGGGTCTGAGGAGACTTCGTACCGTCCTCGGACAGATGATTGAGAATGTTTTCATTCGGATGGATACCCCTGATAGGCATAGCACTACTGTGAGAAGAGCTTTAACCGAGTCACTCGGGAGAAG